TCTGTGAAATTAATATAACTTTAAGACTACGTCGCATATCATTCGCAGAATTGGTGCATAATTAATTATAATATTTATTTTTTGGAATGTTCTTTGTCTGTGAATTAAATATAAATTTAAGACTACGTCGCATATCATTCGCAGAATTGGCGCATAATTAATTATAATATTTATTTTTTGGAAATTTCTGTCTGTGAATTAAATATAAATTGAAGAATACTATTAGATGAATGAACCTGCGATTATTACTTCGAAACAATTCCGCATAAAAACTTCATAATACTCGTACTATAACGAATAAAATTTAATTTTTTATGTTTTTGTAAATTTTCTATTCGGCGACGTAAGAAATTGTGACATACGAACGTCGCATATTAGTGCCCGAGTTGGTAAATAGTTAAAAGTTTTTGAAAAGTTTTTGGTCTGTGACTAAATTATTAATAAATTGAAGACTACTACTATTAGGTCAATGAACCTGCAATTATTACTCGAAACACTTCTGCATAAAAACCGCATAACACTATTACAATAACGACTAACATATATTTTTTTATTTTTATTTTTGTAAATTTTCTATTCTGCGACATACAAACGTCGTATATTTTTTGAGAGTTGTAAATAATAATTTTTGGAAAATTCTTGTTCTTTGACTAAATTAATAAATTAAAAAATAAAAAACTATTAGGTGAAAAAAAAGCGGTGTGTAACACTATTCGGAATGTGTTCGTATATTGATACATTTATGCGAGTTTTATATGGATATGCGATTCGTAACTATGCGAAAACATAACGCATAAGCGATAGTTATCTAAGCCTTTGGATATGCGAATCGTAAATTATGCGAACATATGCCGCATAGTCGCATACTCATAAATGATGCAGTTTGGATATGCGATAATCTAATTACGCGACAGTTTTCCACATATCCTAAATGATGATGCGGTTGATCTGGCCTGGATATGCGATTAAAAAATATAAATTATTTTTATTTATTTATTTTCACTACATTATGCGAGAACAATGCGATCATCGCACTTTGTTCACAGTTCTGCGAATTTCCTTTCAATAATATTTTCCCTTCGAATATTGTCGCAGATTTTGCTGGGAAAACTCTGTTCACGGACATTAATAGTTTAATTGTCCATGCAACATATTGTTTTGTTTTGACATATGAATCATGATTAAACAAACACGTACTTGACAGAAGAAAAAAATATTTATTATTACTGCAGTCAGTCCAACAAAATAAGCCAAACAACTTTTCATTACATGTCCAGTGGATTCTAAGGGTCGAGATCGATGACTTTCAAGTCTATTGCCGCTGCGTTGCGCTCGGTAAAAACCTCGTAACACTCACCGTACCAAGGGAATCCTTCCGAACAGAAAAATGCCTGAGTGTCGGTCTCCTGTGTAATAAATTTAAATCTTTTTAGGTCACAAAAATGCATGCTTGAACAAACTAAAATAAAAAATCAGATGCAATTTACCTCCTCCCCCACATACACCCAGTACATGTGGTTAACCCTAGCAAAGCCTGTATCACGACATAAGAGGACGCCTGGAATCATCAGGAAAGCAATAAATTCATCGAAATAATTTCTGAGTCGCTGAATCATTCGCCGGACTTGAGAAATAGTGAACTCCCTCTTCAATGCATAACTCAGGCATTGGTTCAGGACTATTGAAATTTCTGCCCACAAGGAATTGAACACATGGCCTTTGTGTATGTTTGCCTTCTGACGACACCAGCCTTTTGACGACACCATTTGAAAAACACTTGGTAGCAAATACGTTCCTCCTCCTCTGTCCAGTCCATGCCACGGAAGCGGATCGCGATCTTTTCATACGGTAAAATCCTTTCCATTTTTGTTTTT